ACTACCTGCCATGTTTTTGAAGTAAGTTGAGCAAATCTTCCCCATTCATTCTTTGTTTGAAAATGGATGGATTTTGTTCCTCTTCTCCCCCCGAGAACACATAACGCATAATGATTGCTGGTGCAATCACGCCTCTCCTTGTTATTCTTACACATGCTGAAACAACTATGTACAAGCCATGTTTTCCTATTTCTTAGATGGGATGGACTCAAAGTCTAGTATCAAATATTTCCTTTGATTATTGAAAATCCATTTTGGTCCATTCTGCTGCAGTAGAGAGCTTTGTAGACTTTTTTTTTTAAAGAAAGGGTTTTTTTCCACATTGGCAATGTCCTGTGTTACCTTATTAGATTTGTGGATTTACTTTCTCTGACACCTTCCTTTTCAACCAGTTAATTTGCTGTCAATTGGTAATAGACTGAAGAAGTAAGACTAGGTTATACAATAAGCATCTGTCAGATTCTTGCAAATTTAAGTCACCTTGCATACTTGGTCTTGTTCGGTGTTACTTTTTGATGTTGCTAATTTAAATGCTTTCCTAGGTCGCTTGTACCAGGTTGAGTATGCAATGGAAGCAATTGGACATGCAGGTACTTGCTTGGGAATTCTAGCAAATGATGGTGTTTTGCTAGCTGCAGAGAGACGCAACATTCACAAGCTTCTTGATGAAGTGTTTTTCTCGGAGAAAATATACAAACTTAATGAGTAAGTTGAAATGATGATCAGACGTCCGGTGACGTTATCAGTAATGAAACACTGCTATTATTCAGATATTTTAGCACTGACTCTGGTTTTGTTTTATTTGAAATTATTAACACTTCTTTATTCTTTTTGTTCAGGGTTTTAGACAAGGTGTGAGTATTTTGTCATTGTTTGCTTCAGTAGTTCTTCTAAAGTAGAAATGTCTTTTTTTTTTTTTTAATGTCTAAGAGATTTTTCTAGGTAGAATAGCCTGTTTGTTGGTACTTCCTAATACAAGGTAATGTTATTGCAGCACTTAGGAAAACTGGGAATTCTTAGTTTTACAAAATACCATTTGGGGGCCAGAATAAAGAACGCACACAAAAATAAAGATGCTATTTCAGCTCGGTGTCCTCTTCTAAGTCTTTGTTTTTCTTTTGTGATTCAGAGAGAACAATATAATTAGGTAAAACAGGCTTTAGGTTTCTTTGCCACATTTGTAGCAGAGATGATCTATCTCTATATTACAGCTTCCTTTTTAGCAAACTTGAAGTTAAATCTGTGACGTCAGAGTGAAGAGTGTTACAGACTGTGCTCCTTTGCCTGTAAGGGAGGTAGAGCTTCACCCTTGCTAGACGGCGCACATGAAACAAATAGCTTTTCATCGTGTCAGTCTCCCTTTCTGTGTTGATCTTGAAAGCAGCTAGAATTGTAGGAAGTACTGCATTTTCAAGGAGGCTGTGTAACAGTGCCCTGGAGTAGTCACCTAGGCCAGCCCTTCCATCTTCTGAAAAATTCTCAAATTCACTTAGAAAAAAAAATCTGGATTATTTTTATTGAATGCTTTGTGTAGTGAAAGCTTTGTAGCAATATCAGATTGGGCAAAAGAGATCTTGAGAGCTAATGAAACAGTTAAGGATGTGAAGCACTTATTTTTCTTAGGATCAACTCAAGATCACTGAGTTTCAGTTACAGAAATGCAGTATGTCAGTCAGCCACTTCCACTGAAGGCCTGTCACATCTGTATGGCTCCTTTAGTATTCTGGTGTGTTGTGTCAGGTGGCCCCCAGATAGGCACTTGTATGTAGCTCATGGCTCTTCTAAAGATGCTCAGGACTTAATCACCTTTGGCATGGTCCTCTTCTCAGAACTGTATGTATAACCAGCATACTGACCTGCTTACTTTTTGCTGTCCACCTCTGCTCTTACAAAATGGTAGTACATTCTGTAGAATACTTCTTATGTACCCTCAAGGTAGGAGCTGATGAACTTCTTTTATATGACAGCTACGTAGTTTTGATCAGGAAAGCCCAACAGTAGGTGTTCTGCCTGAAGCGCCGTATAAAGATGTGACTACTTGTTGGAGATTGGTAGGAATTCAGTTAATTTGTATGCTTATATTGCAGGGATATGGCTTGCAGTGTTGCAGGAATAACTTCAGATGCCAATGTTCTAACAAATGAACTGAGACTGATTGCGCAGAGGTAGGTCTGCTGATACTTAACATGGTTTTACTTGCCTGCGTTGTCAGATTCAGTTCTGTTTATGTATTAAATCAACATGAACATGTATTTAGTAGAGCAGAAGTAGATTGAAATAAAACAGCTAGATCAAAGAGGCTATAGCCTCTTTTCTTTCTCGTTTCTTTTTAAATGTGGTACAGGATACTGTCAGCAAAAGAAGTTTTGAAAACTGTTTTTTTTTTTTCTCTTTCGTATTAGGTATTTGTTACAATATCAAGAGCCTATTCCTTGTGAACAACTGGTAACAGCACTATGTGATATCAAGCAGGCTTATACACAGTTTGGAGGTAGTGAAATGTGATGAACCATTGTGCTTTTAAATGTTTAGCAAATGATTCTGTAACATTATTTGAAGTATCTGAGTCTCTGGACAGTTCTACCAAATTCTTCTGTAACAAGTTATACTGGGAAAAACAATAGCCAAATTTATGAGGGGAACAGGTAGTTATGGTTACTGCTTTGCTACTGAAGGTGCTGCTTTTTAGTAATTGAGAAATTGATGGCTGAGATTCCGACCCATTGCGTAGAATGCTTTGAGTGCTCTTGGGTTTAGTGAATACCTCCGAAAGACCAGCAGAGGATTGATTGATACGTAACTTTTCAACATTTTCGGCCCATCCAGCATAATGGCACAATGAATCACAAATAAGACTATATGTAGGGGTATCAGTATTGCAACACTTTAAAAAAATAGTATTCCTGTGGATGGAGCAACGTGTTAGAAAATGTCGTAAGTAGTGTTCCTTAGTACACAAACGGATGATTCTGGTATTTTTGATATATGTAGTGTGAAAGAATGACCTTTTTATGTGCTTGGCTTTTAACACTGTTAAGTTATATGCTTTAACAGCTAAGCTACATACTTCAAGTATTAAGTTTTGATTTAAAGCCCTGAGATGATAAATTACAACGTGTGGAGACAGAAATGAGCTGCTCTTAGGGTTAAATGAAATAAACCTCTGCTGCCACCTCCCCCCGCCCCATGACATAGAAAGAAATGCTGGTGTGCTTATCTCAAGCAACAGAAGTGCAGAACAGTCTGTTAAATCCTAGTTCACAGGAATATATTTGAAAAAGGAAATCAAAGAAAATAATTGTCACTCATGACCAATCTTGTTACCAAATTTGGAGGATTGCTAATAGCCTTCTTTTCAACAGGAAAACGTCCTTTTGGTGTTTCGTTGCTGTATATTGGCTGGGATAAGCATTATGGATTTCAGCTGTATCAAAGTGATCCTAGTGGAAATTATGGAGGGTGGAAAGCTACATGCATTGGGAATAATAGTGCTGTAAGTTCTGGCTTTTTTCCTCTCAAAAAGTCAAGAAAGAAGAAGTGTAAATTGCACTGTGCTAATTAAACTGCATTGTTGATTACTAGTGCAGAAATAGGTAACTGTAGAAACACTGCTGTTACTCATGTGTTGATATTATCTGTCAAAAAGCAACTGTTTGGTTGATTGTCCAAGGATACCATTTTAATTTCTGTGAAATTTGTAGGCAGCTGTGTCAATGCTAAAGCAAGACTACAAAGAAGGAGAAATGACCTTGAAGACTGCACTTGCACTAGCCATTAAGGTTCTAAACAAAACCATGGATGTTAGCAAACTCTCTGCAGAGAAGGGTAAGCAGTTTGCCAATACGGCATAACACCCTCTTTTTTTCTCTCTTTTTTTTTTTTTTTTTTAAGAAAAGTAGTGAATGTATGTACACTAGATGTGGAGTTTTGGGTTTTTAGTTGTCATGTGAAAAATGCTTTTAGAAAATACAGCAGCTCTCAGCCTTAACCTTTCTAAGAGGCATACAGATGGCCTAGTTGAAGATGATCCACCGTGGTCAGCTCCAGGGGCTAGACCACAGTTCAGGGACCGTAGGCCGCATTGGTGCGGTAGCAGAAATGGCTGCCTGTCTGGTAGAAGAATCGCTGGGGAGGTACTAAGGCGCTTTTGTACACTGCTGCAGAAGAGGACTGCTGCCATCTGGCTTGCCAGTCAAGCTTTTTTGTAGAGGCAGGACAAGAGCTTTCTGCTTCATTGTCAGTTGTAACCACAAATCTTGCCCTTCTGATGATTGCTCTGGCTAAAGGACAAAATGTAACGCTACTGTCTGTTCCATATGTTTCAGTTGAAATTGCAACACTGACAAGAGAGAACGGAAAGACAGTAATAAGGGTTCTGAAGCAAAAGGAGGTGGAACAGTTGATAAAACAACATGAGGAGGAGGAAGCAAAAGCTGAACGTGAAAAGAAGGAAAAAGAACAAAAAGAGAAGGATAAATAGATGAAATCAAGTGTTCTGTAGATAATATAGGACCTGCTTCAGTAAAAGATAATCTGGATTTCTGTTTTGTAGAAGCCTACAATTATGCCATGGAGGACCCAGAATTACTTTTGATGAACCAGGTCCGTAATCGTCATTCAGATAATTAGTTTACTGCTCCTTACATTGACCAATAATTGCTTTAATTCTTGAACACTCTATTTCTTTCATCTTCTATTTTTTATTATGGAATAAAATTTAAGAAGAATAGTGATGGGTGTCTTTATTTCCGCAGTAATGCCTGGATATGCACAATCTTGAGGGATTTAATCGCTTTAAACCATTAAAACAAGGTATATGCTAGTTGGTAAAGAACAAATATGGTGTTAGAATTGTTAGAATTTTGTGTGTATGTGTGGATTTTCCTTTTAAAGTAGTGAAAAGGGCTCCTAAGTTTGAAAAAATCATTTCACAAATACAGAATTAAAGTGTGCTGGCATGCCAAGTTTTATTTTTGGCCTATTTTGTTCTATAACAGACTATGTCAAACTGATGGTCTTGCAAGCAGTAGTGTTTTAAACATGCCCTGTAGCAAATGTGTTCAGTTTATCATAGCCTTTCATGAGTGCATGTGTTTTCTAAGAAGTTAATCATGTAACACTAGCTATATTCACACAAACTAGAAAGACATTTTACAAAGGCCACGTGAAAATGTTATAAACTATCTCATGAAAATACAACTAGGTAAATAAAATAGTGCATGATTTTAGGCCATGTTGACTATTAGTGCTGCTGATGCTTCCCCAGAGAATTTGGTTCCCTTCTCTGACAGAACAGTCTAGAAAACTGTTAACCACTAGAGAAACCATAATATTTGTGCATGAATTAGAAATGGCAACAAATTTTGTTCAGATTGTCCTTGTACTGAATGCAAAAGAATGTGATTTTCAGATAGCAAAAATCTCTTCTAGTTCTTAAAAAAAGTAAAAATCTGGAGTTAACAGAGGAGATGGAAACAAGTTACTGAAAATTATTTTGCATCCTTTCAGATATCAAAAGCAAATTGTCACTTCAGTGAGCTTTTCATACTTAAATGAGAGGTCTTACCTGCTCAATTTTAACTGACTGGTGACCCAGCCCCTTTATGCTGACCCTGGATTGTCTATCTTGTAGCTTTTTGGTTTTGGTGTGTGGTGTTTTTTTTTTTTTTTTAAACAGGATTTAATATGACCATTTAAAGAAATGGAATGAGTCCATACAGTGCGTTATTATTTTGAAACTATCCCAGACATTTTTGACTAATAAAGTGTACTTTGTCAACGTGGCCAGAATTTACCCTTAGTCTCCATAAACCCCATTTTTGAGCTCATTGCTGTAAGATTCACTGTTGAGAACAGAGGAAGGAATCTAACTTGAGGTGTCTGTGCTGCAGCTTGCGTAGATGTACTGCACTCACTTGGGCAACCTCTGTACGGAGAGCAGTGTGGGGTGGCATGGGTTCTGTGCGGGCTGCAGGACCTGCTTGTTAATTTTTTAAGTCTCTCTGCAGGCCAATTGCTTTAGTCTTTTTTGTACTGAACTTAGTACTTCGTTAGTATTCACATTTTATAGCTAATAAAAAGTTAGACTGACTTATTTGCACCTTGTGCAACAGTAGATCTTCCAAATAACATAGGAATGATATTTCATGTAACAAGTCATGAATAATTGCAGACAACATGCAATGGGTAAGATTTAATCTCCATTATAAAGGGTTGTATAAATACCTCAAGCTCCATTTTTATGTAGAAAATTCAGTGCTCAATCTACTTATTTTTTGATAATATGAATGCAATATATCAGCATCTTTTGCAGATTTCTAGGTCACTGATGATGGTTATGCAAGTACTTGGAATATACCCTAAAAGCAGCAATGCCAAAATGGAGTTTTTTTTATAACTTCTCAAAGATCACTTGAAACAAAACACAACAGACTCCAGCAATGCTTTCTGTCTTCTAGGAAACCATTAGAGCATCTGAGTCTGCATTCATCAATGTATATAAATCATGCAAGGCAATTTGTTTAGTGTACTAGTAGAAGTATTATTAGATAGCTTAGGATACAGATTTATTAAAATATTTTTTCTTAAATGCTTCTATTTCTAACAAAGAGGGGATAACAAATATATTTGGATCTTTGTTTAAGGAATTGCCAATAGCCTTTTTTTGCCAAACACTGTATCATTTGCTAGTAAAGGAGAACTTTTTAGACACTGTAATAATCAAAAGTTGGAATGTTTTAAATAATTTTCTGATCTGTACTCCATTATGTATTGAAGCATTGTGATAAGTTGTATAGTTACACTACATTTTAAAAGATCTATTTATTGAAAGGTTTTGTTTACCCAAAGTAAAAGTATTGTCAAATACTTTATGAATATAATCTTTTAATAATAATTACCAATTTCATGTAAAGAACGCCATCTCTATGGAATGCCATTAATAGGTGATTGTGAGATGAGCCTCAGCACTGCCTTGGAATAGGCAAGTAACTCTAGCTGGCACTTATATCCAAGATGTACAGTAAAGTTCTGCTAAACTAAATCTAATTTCTGATTCTTTTCTGCATTTGACTCTAGGACAGTAAGCAGATGCTGGAGATCTTTTATTGACTAGAATGTTCTTGGGATATCCTTACAGTAACGCAAGGTCCTTACCTGTTTTTCCTAGAAATAGAGCAGCATTTGACTGCATCGGCCTATTGTGTTGATTCTGGCTTTGTGTGTTTTAAAAAAAAAAACAAAAAACAAAAACAAAACAAAAAAAAAATCACCACTATCTGTGCCTTCTCTGGGAGTGGTTTGGGGATAAGTCGTAAGAACAGAAAAATGATTTTGGCGATACATTTGAGTTGTCTTTGCTAATCAAAATGATCTTCCTGTTCTTTGTATGTTTTTTTGGTGTATGTAGTGTTTACGTAGAGTTTACAGTGTATTACATAAGTATTTCAAATATTTAGCTATTGCTGTGGATTAAATGTTATTTTAACATCAGAACTTCATGTGGTGCTGTGGAAGGTGACAGGTTTTTCAAATTAGGTAAAAGTATTTCCTTGAAACTGTTTGCATAATACGATGTTAGTAAACTTAAAGACTGGATAGTTTATATCTCACTTGAGTGCATGATAGAACTTGTTAGGGCAAGTATTCACAAATAGATTGTCCTAATAAATTGTAATGTGTTTCGTTATTCTAAGTAGTTTAAGAGGTAATGAAACTACTGCTTCTCCAGTAATACCTGTGCTGTCTCTTGCATCTGTCAGTGTTTAAAAAAAAGAGTTAGCTTGTTTTCTAGATGACTGTATTCAGTTCAAATAAAGTCAAATTAACTTCTAAGACTGCTTCTTATGTGACTTAACTGTATTGTGCACTGGAAGACAGAAGATTCCTTTAGGTATGCTTCCCTATTCATCCAAATATTTTTACTTGTCAGAGTTATAAAAGCATGACAATTACAATGATAAAGGACTTTCTATGTTAAATTAGACTGCTGCTTCTGTTTTATTATGGATTCCCAAGGTAATTATTTATTCTTTCTGTTCATAGTCTTAATTAGGGACAATACTTCTCCACTGTGTTGTGAGAATGAATATATTAAGGATTACAAGGCATGCAAATTAATGGTTTTAGAGGCCACAGGACTGTATGTGATACATAGATAGCATAGCTAAGTGTATACAAGACCTTAAGTCCAAGAAGTTAATGCACTCAGGTACTTCATACATGAGAGAAATGATGTAGCTTCAGACTAGCTGAGATTCTAGGACTTACTTAAACGTCTTTCATTTTCTTGAAAGAATAATTTCCATTACAGTTTTTCTGTAGTAAAAGTTGTCCTCATTTTCAAGTTTTAATTGCAGTAATTTCTATTACAATATGAAAAAACACTAAATCAACTTGATCTGAGAGTACCCTTCACTGATTATATAGCTCTTGGCTTTAATCTGGAGAAAATTCAGCCTCACAAAGTTTTTAGAATATTTCTGATTTTAAAGAGAGAACAGAGCTGCTTGCTATTTCTAGCTGAGATTAATTTGGCATTTGGCTTTCCAGTTAAAGTACTCTTCAGTGCACAGTAAAAGCTGCCATCAGCCAATTTACTGGAGACGCTCAGAACATATTTTAGTGGGGACCTTCAGATGTCAGCTCCTGCTGAGAAGGACCCTTTGAAAGATAGCAATTACTCATGCAATTGTTTAGGCTTTCATTTAATGATAAATATGAAACTTAACATGCTGCTGGTTAGTATTAACATTTTGCTCCAAGTTCAAAGCAGGAGGAAAAAATGGCTTCTTGTTTAAAACTACTGTTTTCTAAAACAGTAATAATACAACATAATTAATGTGTGCCAGATGATGCTACATAAAATATTTAGCAAAATGTTGGGCATGTAACCTGGACAGTTTAATCCCTTTATATCTTACAGCATCTGTTTTGCATAGCTAGGACACAGCTGCAAACAAATTCACAGTTATGTAATAAAACCAGTTTGCTATGTCCTGCACATTCGAGTGGCAACTATGTTTAACACTGTTAACTAGACATTAGGGATCTAAAATGCATTACTGCAATGCACATATGCTGCTAACAGAAACAGATTTTACGTGATAACCTTAGCTTAGGAGCACCAGGTGCAGTGCAGCGGTGGACCAGTTGTCATCAAAAACTACAGATTTGCAATTTCAGTAGAAACATTGTCCAGTAATTTTTGGAGCACTCTGAAAACATCAGAACTCCAGTGTATCGCAACAGAATAAAATAGGGTTTTTTGTGCCATGCTTTTGGCTAAAATAATATACTCTTTTTTACTCTAAAATCTTGGGTTGACCACTGCATACACACTGAGCATTTCAAAATAAGAGTCACACTGCATCCTTTAACACGTATGTATTTTGACTGTGGAGGACATGTAGTATACAAATGGATTCTCAACGTATAAAATGACCATATTTACTGCAGAGCATTCAAATCAATACAGCATGTCACTGTAAGTGTGCTGGAAGAAACTACTGTGTAAGCAGCCTTTTTTCAGATGGCTTGTACGGACTGCATTACGTCTTGCGCAGACACGCACAACCTAAATATGGCTGCAGGATAAAATAATACAGAAAAACATTAGTTTAAACATGAAGAAGGGGATTGAAATGCTTAAATACTCTGTTTTGGTTGTCAAAAAGATTCGTGATTTACACAAAGAGATGCACTATTTTTCTGAAAAATGAACACGATATAAAAGAATCTGGATAAGTGATAACATGCTTAATGAAATTACTACTTTGCGTAGTGCTCATTTTAGGAAGGTACAAAGTTGCTAAAATTTGAGTTTAATAAGGTCCATTTTTTTGAGGAATCCGGTATCTAGCACTTTTAGCAGCTGATTAACACTGTGTAAAGCCATTTAGCCCTTCTTTCCAAACCTTTTCTCTCTGTAAAAATCTTAAACAGTATCTTAAATGTAAGAAAGGCA